GTACTAATAGGAAGAAATGAAAATTGACAAGTAGTAACTAAAAACGTAAGTGGAAACAGAGAAACAAGTAGTCTATGGCAATAAAAGGAAAGCAACCGAAGGGGAGAAATTAGTAAGAAACCATCATCATTAGAAATGGAAAAGTCATAGAATGTCAATGATTGAAAGTTGATTCCTTCTTTGATGAATTCCAATGAAAAAGATTACACAAAAATACAGAACTTGGGCTACTTCATTATATACTTTAAAAAAATCATAAGCAGGGAAGTTAACACATTTTCATGCTTCTTAAAATATAAAAATTAAAGTTACTTCACTTAATCTCAGGGTGTTGATTTGCTATAAGTGAGAAACATACTACTGAGTCAGTGACGTCTCTTCTGTCCCTAACCAGTTTCCCCAGGCCCGTTGAACGTGCCCCAGGGTACCGCCGGCCAGAGACCCTGGATTCGTCGTGGGTTGTCGTCAGTAGTCTGCCCATCGCTCTCCATCATGAGCATCAAATCACTCTGTCCACGCGGTCCCTTTGTTCTGTATTAAAACAATGGAAATATTTTACAAGGGGAGACAACTCAAGATCCGTACCAAAACTATACATATATTTAAGTATATATTACATATCTATATATATATTAAGAAATAAAGGTTGGATTCAGTATTGTGAAATATATATTGAAATAACTTTTCAAACAACACATCAAATTTAATTTTAGCGTTAGCCCGTTCATTTCTGAATTCCATGAGTTTATAAAGTAATGAAATTAACACTTACATATATTTAACCGGTTAAAAAATATAATAAAAAATATAATATAAAAATATATTATCTCTGGAATTTTTCTTTTAATCAAACAAATAAAACAAATACAAGCATATTTCGACTTGGAATCACATCAATATTTAAAGACAAGAAAAATAAAATGTATGTGTATAGATGTATTTATAAAAAAAATTAATTCAGATGAGTAATAATCGGCACGAGTTATTCCCCTTACTTACACAACGTCAAAATGATACTTTTCAAACTCCAACTAACAAATGCAATCATATTCTGAAACTTGAAATATGATAAACATGGTAGTACTCGCAAATACTGAAGATTCCACCAGTTAATTAAACAAAATAATTTCCCTTTGTGTTTGTAAAATTTGTATTTTGATACGATTCGCAAATGGAATTAATATCAACCATGCGACCTCTTACGTGTGAATGACTTTGATTAATGAACGTTTTGCAGATTGTACATATTTCTGTTTGTGAAACCCATTTCAATACTTTCAAAATATGAATTTGCTGAAAATACGAAGTTCACAACAACATTTATATCAATCTTTACAATAATTATATACGTATTACATGTGTAAGTTGCTGAGAAGTAAGAAATTTGACACTGACCTTATCCACAGAGGCAGCTCGTCTGGACATTTTTTCGCTCATGAAAAATGCGCCAAATTTTTTTCACTGCAGCAAAGCGTGCAATTTTTATATGTATCTGATTGGCTGTCACTATGTACGAACGATTTCATTGGTCATTGTGATAAAATGACCAAGATATTCCTACTCGGTATATAGATATATCATATACGTTTGTGTATATAACAAAGGAATGGACACGGGTTTAAATTCTGGACACAATATAGTTCCTTATATTAAGCAATATATTTGGCTGAATATGCGATACCAGTATAATCTATATATATGGTGAAAATAAAGAGACAGTTACAGAGTACATGTTTGTAACTAAACGAACACAAAGACTTCGAATGTAATCCGCACTATAGTTATATATATATGTGTGTGTGTGTGTGTGCTTGGAGAAGTTATGAGCAGATGTCACCGATTTTCATTAATCGTCCCAGTCAGATGTTATATGTGTGGTATACACAATATGTCGACTGAAACATTTTAAAATCTAGTTTCAACCTCGCCGTGCTTCTTTCAATTTGGTATGTCTGTAAAGAATCTGTCTACACATCTTTCCCAGTCCGTCCGTGAGTCTTGTATGTACATAACGAAATACCTAGGATTTATCAATCTACATTGTAGATTAATAATTTGGATAAGTCATTATAAAGCATATTGCACTGTTGTCAGATTGGTATAACAACAGATCCTCACATCCCCACCCTAACCCCTGCCCCATCCCTCTCCTCACTCCTCCTATGACACTTAGCTAATCATTATAGATTTAATTATCATGCCTAATAAGCCACTAGTCACTGTTTTATTTAGATATGTTTTTATGACACATTATTATACATTAAAAAGATACATGTATACTATATAATGTCGTTGGATATATTTAACATTACGATTTCTGTGTGTTCATGATATATAAATACGATAGGATATAGAAAGGACATATTTTCTAATATATTTAAAAGTTTGATTGAATCATTCTTAACAAAAACCGTTTTCATTTTCTAGTTTTCCAAAATGTTTTCAGACGACCTTTCCAGTAGATGGCATTTAGTGACGATTTACACGTATCGAGAAATAACTAATACTAAGACATTTAAATCAGTGATATAAGACTCCGATTTGAGCAACAGACTTGTAATAAATATGCTCGAAATGTTGTATGCATTCCCAAGTACATGTGACGTTTTATAGTTACTGTAACTGGTATAAAAATGCCGACAGTTGTTTTAATATTATTTTGAATGTTTTAAAATGATATTATTTTGGTACAGATGGCGAATTTTAACAAATAAGCAGCGGATGAATCTGCTTACCAAATCATCATAGAATCAATGAATGTCCAAATTTGTTCTGGATCATCACTGAGCGGGAGACATATAAATATTTTAGCTAACACCCTGAGAACATAGGGTTGATGACTGCCAAACAAAACCAGAGCGATATTTAATATTCTTGTGACGATTATTTTAAAGTTATCGTTCTGGCCTAGAAATCTCCACTCTAAGTTTGTATCATGGCACACAGAGTTACTCTATGCTATTCTATTGAAAAGTATCCCCCTTATTCATTTCGAAGTAAGACATGTTTGTCGGTGTCATCTAGCGGCTTCATTTTGAGAGGGAATTAATAAAGCTTTACGCGGGTGTTGAGGACAATTTTAACTTGAATTACGTCAAGTTTCAAGGTCCTTGGATCAAGGCCACGCTTGTGAATTTTTTCATTCATAGATAGCAACAGACCTGCATCCCAAATGAATATGTATACATGTCGCTGTGGAGTTCGATATTCAAAGGCCTGTTATCACGAATATTTCTTTGTGTGTAATACAGCCGGACGTGTTTAGTCCTCGTTTGTTTCCCTGTTGGTTCCGTTATTGTATACCTTCTTCTCATTTGAGAACGTGACATCATAACCATTTCTGTAAACTTCGACACTAGTTTTAAGGAGCTGACAGCACCTTTGAAAAAAAAAAAAAAAACCAGGAAGAGCTACAGACCAACTGGCAGAAATTGGTGACGGTACTTGGATTGACCTAGATTTACATGGCGGATATCGTCGATAAAGTAAAAAAAAACACTTGCTCTCCGTAACCACATTGTCGTTTTCTCCTGGAATTTTTCCATTAGTGGTCGTGTGCTTGGATGTCCGTCGGCGCTTGTCTTTACGTGATCTGTCTAAAATCAAAGGGGCGCAACTAGGAACCCGAGTGGACCTTCAAGTGAACACTAACAAAGATCCATCCAGTAACAGCGATTACAAAAAATAAACCTATCAGAAGTAAAACATTCGATAAAGGTGTCTAAAACGGTCATCACAGCACGGCGTTTGCTAAAATTACTGATTAGAGTATTTTCTCACCTCCTTTGTTGGTGACTTCCAATTTGTTGGAATATCTCTGGCTTTTACACAGGAATGGTTAATGTTATTTCATTCGGAATGTTTTGGAACGACCCTTGGTCTATGATGCCGGAATATCTCGTGAATGCGGCTATTCCATCTTTTCACTAACACGAGTTATGCCGCTTGCTACCGAGTTATCGTTCTTCCCCGCCGGTATGTTTACTTCCGGTTTATATGTTTTCCTAGCGGCATTTTTCAAGTTTGGTTGTGGATGGATATATTTTTTTCCAAAACAACGTATGAAGACATTCTTTATTTAAAGAAAAGTGAGATACAAACATTTCTGAAGGAAATAAAACCTTAAAACAACTGGCAAAAAACATTCTTGCTCGAAGGGCCTTTCATCACATTCAGGTTACGCTCGGAATTTCAACAAGTGATAGCGATGAATTAAACGAAGAAAGTAAGTCTACTTGCTATACTGTCACTGATAGAAGGATTCCAAATTTTGATGACTTAGATATTGTTCTATTATTCAGTCCTTGAATAATTACTTAATTAAGATAGATAAACAAGACCGTCAGCTTCGTGGACTCCGTATAATTCAAGATGGCGTCATACATGGAAATTAAATAACACGTGATTATAGTCTGTTTCATATAAGTGCTTGTATCTAATAGGATAACAAAGTTCCTTTAGCACTGTTTTTCGACCACTAGTATGAAATTACTTTTAAACTAAAACTGTCAAAAGTTTTTTCCATGAATGTTATTGAGAACTTAGATGAACATTTTCAACTTTAAACTTTTAAAAAACTTTTTAACTTTTAACTGTCAATAACTTTTAACTTTATAAGTCCATCCTCTTTGGCGGCACTGACATCCGTCAAGATCTTGTTTGGTAAACATTACGTATACTGTCCATAAGACGCGACGCGGGCTCGGTACGATTCTGGTGGTGGTCAACGATCGGCGGTCGCGTAACACTAATTGTAGGAATGTCATTTCTACAGTATTGGTCAAGTCGTTGGAACGATATGGCGACGGTTACTACGCACTTCGCCTGTTGGTGTTTTAACGACGTAGGATAGAGGGTTCGGTGCAGATTTCACGACCTCTCCACGAGTCCCACTGTCCATTATCCAAACGCGATCTCCTGGATTGTGCGGTGCAAGATTTCTGACGCGATGACGGTGATCATAGTTCCGTTTTTGGTTGTCGCACAGCTCACTTTCTTTGTCATTCACTTCTGTTAGATAAGGCCATTTTTTGTCGACCCATGCAAAGTTCGGCAGGGCTATACCCATTCGCACAATACGACATTAGGGCGACGTACGGATCCTTGTTTTTGCGCAACAGATTCTTGATAGTTTGTACGGCGCGTTCCGCTTCACCATTGCTCTGTGCATATCTCGGACTGCTGGTTACGTGTTGGAATCCAAATTCCTTTGCGAATCGCACAAACACTTCAGTCGCATACTGTGGTCCGTTATCAGAAATTAGCACATCTGGTATCCCGTGACGGCTAAATATGGAATTGAGATGTACGATCACATCCTCCGATGACGTTGACGACAACTTGGCGATTTCCACAAAACGTGAGAAATAGTCAACAACAAAAAGGTATGTTTTCCCTTTGAAATGGAAGAGATCTGTACCCGCGCGTTGCCATGGACGTGTCGGTAGCGGTGTTGGTATTAACGGTTCGGCAGAGTCTTTCCTTGCCTCGGCACAGATATGGCAAAAATTTACCACGTCCTTGATTTGGCTGCTAAGATCATGCCACCAGACTGACGATTTCGCGCGTTCTCGACACTTCGCGATTCCTAAGTGACCCTCGTGCAATTTCTCTAGGATCTCGGTCCTCAGAATAGGCGGTATAACAAGTCTATCACCTTTCAACAACAATCCGTCAGCCATGGTGATTTCACCTCGCAGTCCCAAATACGGTTTCACAGGTTCGTCTAGGTGCGTTTCGTCACTCGGCCATCCTCCCAATGCAAGTGTCATCAACATTAAACATACTGGGTCGGATTTTAGTTCAGTCCGTATTTGTTCCAACCGAGAGTTTGTCGCGGAAAAATTGTCGGAAGTTCGCTCAAACCCTTGGAACCAAGCAGGGAAATCAACGGCTTATGGTCGGTTTCCATTTGGAACTTCAATCCTATGATAGGTCGCTAAATCGGTCGAAAGCCCAAGTGAGGTCTAGAGCCTCTTTTTTGATTTGCGCGTAACGCCGTTCCGTCGGAGTTAACGCACGCGAACATGATGCTACTGGTCTCCGCACTCCGTTTTCCTGCACCTGTGTGATGACTGCCCTGATTCCATATGACGACGCGTCAGCCGATACTATCGTCTCCTTGTTCGGATAGTCAAGGGCTAGAACTGGGCTTGAACAAAGTTCCTGTTTTATGTCCGAAAATGCCTGTTCTTGGGCGCTACCCCATGACCACATGTTCTTTTAACTGAGCAGGTAGCGAATCGGTTTCGTTTTCTCTGCGAGATTTGGCGAGAACTTTCCCATCTGGTTTACCAGAAATCGACGGACTCCAGAAATATCTGTAGGCGAATCCATGTCGCGGATTGCCTTGACCCTGTCGGGGTCAGGTGAGATTCCATCACTGTTTATGACATGGCCGACGAATTTAATTTGGGTTTTGGAAAATTCACATTTCTCACTGTTCAGTGTGACACCAGATTTTTGAAGTTTCTACAATACGACGTTTACTCGTCGGTCGTGTTCGATTTTATCTGAACCATAAACGAGAACATCGTCAGTCTGACACACGAATCCTTCGTAGCCTTCCAAGATCTGTGGCATTTTCTTTTGAAAATGCTCGGACGCGGACGAGATTCCGAACGGTAACCTTCGGAAGTAATACTCTCCAAATGGCGTGATGAAGGTCGTCAGTAACGCTGATTCTTTGGCCAGTTCCACTTGCCAAAATCCAGAATTGGGGTCGAGCTTTGTGAAAAGTTTAGCACCCGCTAGCTGTCCTAGCGTTTGGTCAACTGCCGGTAGGGGGTGTTTTTCTCTTTCAACACTCTCGTTGAGCTTTGTCAAATCTACACAAATGCGCACAGTTCCGTTGGCTTTCGACACTACTACCTGATACAATGTAACTGGCCATTTTTTTCGACTGGTCTGTTCTGTTGAGCGTTTTAGTGCAAGTACAACTTCCTCTGGTCAGTTATTCCACATTTTTACAGTTTGGGTCAAACGTATTCACAGCTAACTTCAGGGTAACTTTTACATGGAATTCATAATAATAAATTTTGATAAATAATAACAATAATTTCCATGCATCTTTGGTAAATAGGCTTACAGTATATAGTCATAATCATTTAAGAAAATACATAATGTCTAATAGCAATATTATATCACACTCACCGACACCAATAACAATAATTTACATAACTTAGCTATTATCAGTAATTACTGTGTAGACAATTATACATAATGTATAATTTCAGAAGTTAGCTGCTTACTACAATCATTTATTATGAAATTGCCATTGACTAGTTTTTCAAGTCAAGTCGTAGTTTTTCACAATAACATGTACTTTAAATCTCGTAGTCAAGTCAGAAAAAATACGGCTGCCTTGCCACCCAGTTGATTGGGCTTTTCATCATTTTGTGTGTCTTTACGTCTCTGAGCCAAATGATGAGTCGGTATCTTGTCTGGGTCATGTTTCGTAGGTCCAACGCCATGTGTGAAATGATCAGAACAAACCCTTGTGTAAGACGACGGCTTATAGTTTTTTCGACTGATCGCATGTAGCCATTGTCCCTGAACCGTCTTTTGGCCAGGAAGTCTGTATAATTTCACTGGTATCCCAAAATCTCCCAATTTTCATAGGATAATTATAACATTCCGTCAATGCACAATAGTCTCGCCCCATGACGGAAGTGAACGATATCTGCTTACAAGAACGATAATTCTGGAGCAGGAACGATATCTCGCACAGATGAAACTAGGGAATCGGGAGCTCGAAGTGCAATCTATTTTTAGATTGACGGGTTTATTGTTACGCTCTTGAATTACTGAGAATGTATAGAAAACAATCAGCATATGTATATATCATTTGTCCAAAGAAATCGGCAGGTTAAAATTGATAATGACTGCCTTTCGTGCTTAAATATGTAAAGCTACGGAAGCCGGTTAGTGCCACATTTTTCATGAGTTAAATTTTTTTAAGTCGTAATTACGACTAAGGTATCTCGTAATTACGACATAGCTATCTCGTAATTACGACTCATGAAAAAAGTGGCACTAACCGGCTTCCGTATAAAGCTGATATGCTTCATTGGAATGTAATAAAAATCCTATCGCAGAAGTAAAAAAAAAACCGGGAAATTCAAACGAAGAAATATTCCTCCTCGCAGAAGAGCGTAACAATAAACCCGTCCATCTAAAAATAGATTGCACTTCGAGCTCCCGATAGCCGCATTCGATCGATTCCCAGATTCTCCACTTTTTTCTCTCCCATTCTGATCTCCTAGTTTACTGACCTCCGTTTCACTCTGGTAGTAGCTCTGATGTATCCTTCCACTTTTTTCTGTATTGAGGTTCAGTCACAATGCTTCCCTAAGTCAATCGATGCTTTGTGTTACAAAGTGTCGCGAAAAATGTTCCTCAAGTAGAAATTGGGAGCGAAGAGGTTTCGACCAACCAGAGCTCATCTTACATGCACTGTTCGGTTCGAGATAGGGTCTAAGAACATACATTATTATAAGTATCTGCATTCATATTCTGCAACTAAATATGACAAGCCATTGGTTTTCTAATTAATCGTTTATACATAACTGTATACCGAGACGGATTTGAACAGTTGTAACGGCGCTTCAGTATTGTTCAAACATCCTCTCTCTCTCTCTCTCTCTCTCTCTCTCTCTCTCTCTCTCTCTCTCTCTCTCTCTCTCTCTCTCTCTCTCTCTATTCCCCCCTCTCTCTCTCTTGCTGACTAGTTTTGATTTATTATAAAGCATCAATCTTGACCATTAAATCGGAACGTTCTCTGAAACAATTAAAGATATGAGTTATGTCCCCTAGCCCTTTAAGATTAGTATATTTTTTGGGGTTTTAATTGAAAAATCCATTTACCACCTAAACAGCAATTTTACTGGATAACAAATATATTATACTTTTAGAATATTAAATTGTATACATGTAAATGTAAATCAATAATAATCTTAACAGTAGAAGAGTCAGTATTTATATCTAAACGCGAGCCATTTCCATCAATGCGAGATGCTTACGTACCGACAGAACATATTTCCTCGAGGAATAGAGTTATATTATAAAGATATCCAATTATTCTGTAAGCAGACGCTGCATAGATGGGCATGACCACCGGGCTCTCTCCAGGATGCCATCAAACGAGGTGGTGGGCGTTCTTGCTAAATGTCACGTCAACAACAATAGGTTGAGAAGAGATTAAAATAGCTACGGTGAAACAACCATGCGGAAGATGGGTAGTCATATTTCCGCTTTGAGCACTGTCAAAACAATGTATCGCTAAATCTGCGTCATAAGCTTACCATTAGAAATGAAAACGACACAGAATCGGATACTCTTCGTAATGAAATAGCAAATATCAGAGCAGATAATATAGTCACCATAATAAAAAAAATCTCGGTCTCCTGGATTAATCACCACAAAAGTTACATTATATATCATAAAGTATTAATGGCTTATATGTTCCATTTCAAATCAAATATTTTATGTACTTTCAACTTGCGTTATTCTTGACTAAAAAGATTAAAAAAAAAAGACAAAACAAACCAAAAAAAAAAAAAAAGACAAAAAAGCAAAAAAAAAAAAAAAAAAAACATTTTTCGCAAATTTCTAATTTTCGCTAAAACAAAGAAAATGTCTACACGGCAACCACTAGAAATGTAAAAAAAAAAACAGTGAGACTAGGATGACCATTTAACTTTCCCATAATCTTCATCACTCTGCATCTCTTCAAACTTGTGTTGTGAGCTTACATGTCAGCTGTTTACATCTTACACGAAAAACGAGATTTTAGAACAGAAACAAGTCCTTGAAAATCGATTCACCTGCGACATGCAAACACCAAGTGCGTGAAGCATGATTGTTACTATTAAGAAATACAAATTTCACAATGGAAAAATTGAAATATTCACATTTATTATTCATATTGGTAGAAAGTTGTTGGTTTCGTTTAATATAAACGGCTGATGTAGAAAATCTATGGTGTCCTTTAGAAGTAGAAAAGTATATACATACAAAAGGATTTATTGAGGCTGGAGTGTATCTAGAAGTTTTTCTTACTGACCACACCACTTGTAGTTTCTACGGCTTGTTGGAAGAGATGGAGTAGAAGTTCTAATAAAACAATCAACAGGAGATGGGCTCTGCTGGTTACGTAGTGATAACTTTTAGTGACATTTATTATGATGTACCAAGTCCGAAACATATTGGAACCTTCTTCAAAGTTTGGAATTACATTGTGTTTGCAACTTGGGGACATCATTGTTATGACTACAAAACATGAGAGCCGGAACTGTCTTTTATGACGTGTTTCATTATTTAAGTGTGCCCACAAACATGTATCACTTTTGCTTCTTTGTTGTCTGTTTACTAACTGCTGCCATATGCCTTGCATGGCAACACAACGTATTATGAAGAAAGATGGGCGTTTTCATACTTCGACTGAGAAAAGACAAACTTATAATTTTTTGTACTACGTTCTGCTTCACATTTTAAATTCAAATGACTGAAGGGGAAATATGACAGACCCGAGAGGTCTAAATCGTCGTGTCCATGTTGTAGGCGTTGAAAAGCTACATCGTCTATGGTTATCACTATTTTCTGTTTCCTTAACCAATTTACTTCAAACAAAAACATGTATTTTATAATCAATATATTCTGCATTGTCACAGCCTATTTATTGTGTTATTTTCGAATTAGCTTTGTCTTTATTTCTCAGTCGATGATAATTCGAATACACTTCGGTACTCATGGGGTTACGCTCACTATCGCT